ATTACAGGTGATTTCACAGTAGTGTATTGAAAAATTTATTTATTTGGTTAATTAATATACTTTTGATAGACATTTAAAATATTTAATCTGAAATGATGGGAAAACGATGAGAGAACAAATTGTAGCTTAACTTAAGGGACATCAAGTATGTAAAATAAAATGTACGACTGTATGTTAGTCTTTTTAGCACAACCAGGTCCCTATAAATAATATGACACTACATATTTGATTTGTGAAATTGTGTTACACATACCTGAAAAAGTTTGGGTCTTGTTCTTAAGCTTAACATATTTTAGGACTCATTAATGATATACAAATTCACAGAAATGTAAATTTTTTACATTTTTTTAATATAAGCCGAGGTAAGTTGAAACAGCTACTAATATGTAAATTAAAGGTACTGGGATGAAGATTGATACTTTGTAAGCTTAACTTTATCTCAAAATAAATTTTCTTATATTGTGACTTTCTCATTTGATATTCTACCAAAAAACTGCGTCCGAATGACTCGCTTAACTAGACCAAGGTGGTTCTCCAACTTACTCGCCCTACACCTCTAGAGAAGGAACAATTACCCCTTCTGGGTTCTGTAGACAATCTTCGCCAACTTCGCCCACAATGATGGGACTATAGAAACTTAGTCTCAACTAATGGGCTATAATTGACTTGGAAACTTACATACGGGTGGCGATCAAGAAAGTTCTTACCACCTTGTTACTTTTATCAGAGGGTTTTTTACACATTGAAGTTAATCCTCGTCTGAGAGTAAGATATTTTTACTTGATCACCTACAAATTAAATGCGGATCCAAATGATAGGTTATTGAGTTAATAATTATGCATATCCATTTCATTGGTGATTAACTATATTCATATTCGAAATACATACAAAAGTCCCGCACTGTACTAATTTAACCATCGGTTTAACTCAACCTACAATAATGAGATTTTTTGTAGGTTGGATTAGTGTATTTTTTTAAAGTAAAGGGAGTTACTGGTACTTGTTCAAGTCTTTTTAGTTATAATTCAAATTTATCTTCATACAAACAATGATATACAACAACAGTAAACGAGGCCATAACAGTAAACCATGCTACTATTACCCATTACACAATATTAAAACCACTCATGATGTATTACGTTTTCTGACATCATCGCTTACGTCAACTACACTTGGTGGCCAATATTGGAAAAGCTAAAACTCCTCACAAAGTCATACATCGTTAATGAAATTTCGTTTCTACATAAAGACCAAATATAGGTTGCATAAATTTAAAAATTCTTTTTAAATGCGTCCGTTCGGAACTAAACAAAAAAATTAGTTGCGTACGACTATAAGTTGAATATTAAAGATTTCTCCTCTTTGTCATTAATTAAATAAAAGCTTTAAATTGTGAGTGTCTTAGATATTTTTAATAGTCTCATTTGTGTTTTAGGGTTGAAACTACTTATTTATATTTTTTTATGTAGGTATGTCGAACTTATGTTCGTAAAATGTTAATATTTTAGTTTTACCAATTACTCTGGTGTACGATTGTATTTTATGTATTTAAAATCGTCCAAGTTATGTTTTGATTGTAAAAAGTAAACTTCTTCAATACGAGTGGTAATTCATATTAGTAAGGTTAAGGAGTAAATTCAAAGCTTAAAAAGTGATACATAAAATTAATATAATATATTTAATAACAATATATTTAATATAATTTTGTGTTTGAACAGCGGGAAATGTACAATTTATAAAAAAAATCGTCTGATTATCTATGTTTATTTCCTTTGATAAATGATTTCCTGTGGAGAACGAGCGTTTATGAGATTAAAACTAGCAATAATAAACAAATGTGCCATTAGTTTTCACACCAGAGGTTTCTGGCATCAAAGAAGTACACAGACCCGAGCTCAACAAAAAGCTATTGTGAATTAACCCAAGTGATTTATTATCTAAATGAGTACTAAAATGAGTAAAGATAGATGATATTTTTAAGTTTTGTTTGTGAAGCTGTTAGTGCTCATTTTAACCAACTATGGCGTTCATAGGAATAATTATGGTTAAATAGTATACATATAGTTGTTAAAGAAATGGTCATAACTCTTTCTTTGTGGCATAACTTAACACATTTCTTCCAATACTCGAGGTGGTATGATTTTGTTTACTCTTGGTGCAGATTAAGGGTTGTTTTCAACCTACGTTAGTCAAATTGAAGATTTGAATAAAATATGGAACTGTACTTTCATTCATATTTGTTTAAACGAAAAGAATGTAATTTTTTTTGTTAATTGTTGTGAATCAATTGGACCTTGCTGACAAGTTTTGTAAACTTGGCGAGGCCAAGATATTGTATTACCACAAATAAATATATTTGAATTTAAATTTGAATTTGAATTCTACAAATAAAAATGCAATAAACACTATTAGGCCTAGATAAAGAATACTAACCTAATATAAATTCATTACCAACAATGACAGTGTTTACCTATGCGACTTGTGTTTGAATTAGACTGATGAAATAGCTCTACTTCATAAGAATGGAAGGATATATTTTAGATTGACACATCAGCAGAACTCAAGTGGAAGGTGTAATATTGCTAGCTAGGATTAAATTTGCAATTCAAATCTACTCCCTTCTTACTCCATCCTGAACACTTCTTGAACACGTTCGAAGTTTTGATAACACGAAACTGATATTGTGCACCGTCTACATAGGTTTGAGAAATCTTTTAATTCAAGGTAAAGGAAAACTACTATAACGTGTACTACCATATTTGTTTTTACTAAAATTATGTATAAATACAATAAAAATTTAAGTCAGAGAATATTAATTTAGCAAAAATAATTAACAAAAGTTATAATAAATAGGTACTAAAATAGATTTATTGAGGTTTGTTGGAATAGGTGAACGGGAAAACACCATGTGTTTTTTTTTTAAATACCCGGGTAATCATCTGAGATTGATTAAAATAACAAATCTTAAGAAGTCTTCAGGTTTTACTGAAATTATTTTAGTAATTAAATTATTTACTTAGCACTTATTTACCTCTCCCTAACCATTACACACGCACTCACACTATTATCCTATGTTATTTCCAAACTGGAGTGTAGTGCTTTTAGTTACAATTATAAGTAATTAGCTCCAAACATTTAGCATATTAGTACTGCATTTGTTTACTGTCATTTATATACTATGCATTTTCTAGAGATATAAAATGTTATACACATATTATTTAATAAACATTCTAGAAAACTATGTTAAAGTAAGAGACAGTAGAAATCCGAATGTTAGGTTAAGCATTAAGTTTGAGTATGTAAAGGATGAAAATAAAATTTGAGGGGTGGAAGTTTTCTTATAAATCTGTCCCTAACTTTGTCAATGTTGGTGTGAAATTTTAGTGAATGGTGTAGGGTAAAATAAATGGAGAGGTACATAAAATATAAAGGGATGTAGTTTATATAGGTAAATAAATGCGAGGTAAAGACGAGAAGGGATAAGGGATGTTTCCGTAGCAAACCCTTTCAAGGTTAACGTGGATATAAACGACGAGCAAACGATGTAGAAAGGTATATGAACCGAAGGGGTGGTGAAAGAATTAAGCGGATGTGTTCAGAGCAATAAGGGGGTAAAGGTAAGGGGGAGAGATGTCCCCAGCAATTTGGCCACAATATTTTCAATGCTGACGTTGGTGTGGGTAACTGGCGTAGAAGGTGAAATCTACGGAGAGGTATAATGGGGAGTAAAGGTGAGGGGGATGTGTCTCCAGCTATTTGGCCCCCAACTGTTTGGTCTCACGCTAGGTTTGCACGCCAACTTCTTGTTAACGACACTTTCAAACTTTTAATGAGTATTGAATTTAAAAACATTACTATATGTATTTCTGCAGTACCAGATAGCATTTAGTTCCATGACTAAATTCTTTTTTTAGAAATAACTACATATTCAGTTGAACAGTGTAGTTTATTCCGTGGGAAATAATTGAAATAGGTATTTTTTTACTAGGGATTTTATGTATAATCATTTTTGCATCATTATCTCCATAATATAGGTTTCATTTTAACACCTTATGTAATAAATACATAACCAATAAACAATATAGCTTTAGATTAACTGATAGAAGTGGTAATATTTGTCAAAGTAACTTTTAGGCTAATAAGATATTATAATATTAAGATAATATATCAAGGCTAATAAGAGATAAATATTTACCCTTCCTACGTTTACACTCATCACCAGTTATGCGTAGAAATTTTTCTCACGGACAAAGCAAAATCGTCCATTGTCCGAAGTATAGTACAATGACAATAGCGAGTTAGTCCACAATTGATCATTCATGGACTACAGGATCACTCAGGAGGATTGATATGCACAAATAGCACAAAACATAACAAACGGTATCTGAATTTAATAGCATCAACTATGGTAAGATTATTTCAGCTCATTCAAGACAATCGGTTATTTTGGTTTCAACATGATTCGGAAACAAAACTGTCCTAGTATCACCGATAACGTACGGATATACAGAATTTATAGTAAAGTTAGTAGTACCTTGTGTGGGTAAAAACGTGAAACAATAATCACACGTTAAAACAAAAAGTCACACCTATAAGTACACAATAATACCCATTATTATTAACACAAATTTAAGTTTACGTGTTCATGTTGTTAATGACCATATTTCTAATCCAGCATATATCTTATAACACACAAACGACAATTAGAAAAATTAGAAACGTAAATTAGAAAATCTCCCTTATAACGCCGTTAGTAAAATTATTGCACCAACACCTCAAGCAAACTATTTTAACTCCATCACCTTAAAACCCTCCACCCAAACCAACCACCACAACCTTAAACGTTCAAAGAATTTACTTGACCACCCCCATTATATCCTTAGGAATATAGGTGTGTCCCTATTTTTTTTACCTGGTTTATGGGCACTCCTACATTGCTAAAGGTATATTCTACTTGTTAAACTACACCAACACCATCAGTTAGGTCAAAAGTTGATTACTTGTACAGAGCGCCTCGTACGAGAAGTTGCCCACAGAAGGTCTGAAGGATATAGCGATGTTGTCCACGCTGTGGAACCTCACTACCTTTGATCCTCCATCAGAATCTACAACAACGTGATATACCTAGCATCAGTGACATGGTGGACAACTATTCATGTTGAAATCATAAAATAAAATGATTATAAAAATAAACAGAAAATGCTTCATTCACGATGTCATTGGACAAAGAAAACGTTATCGATTAAACATACTGAAAGATATATCATCTTTGTGGTGAATACGATTTTTATATTCTATTCTTCTAAAGAAGATGTTTTGGTGTTGATGCGTCTTGTTTGTGTTACGAAACTAATTGTTAATTACTTTCAAAACAATTGTAACTAAATTAAATTTAACTTTAATCTAGTTAATTCACCGGCTATCCCCTGATAATAAAATAATAAATAATAAATTTATTTTTTAATGTAATCTTTAATTAGAGAGAAACATTTTCATCGTAACCTTCACGAGACATACACGTTTAGATTTGACGATATGGTAAATTCCCTGGTACTTCGCTAAATCAATGGGAAAACTATAACAATGTATGATGTTCGAGACGGTTTTTTGGCTAAAATTATTTTTCCAATAAATATAAATAATAACCAAGCAGATATACGATTAAAATTTATTTCGGTAAAAAGTCTCCTAAAGCTTTCGTCTTAAAAAGATAAAATTCTTCCCTTACAGTTCCTAATGTTTCAATAATTCGATTAATATCCAAAAAGGAATCTATTTTACTGTATTACTGAACTTCTCATATGTGCAAACCTATTGTTGTACCTAGTTAAGCTGTTAAAATTAAATAGCAGAGTAATCAGTATGCAGCAATAGAAGTTGAAGAATAACGGAATCTTTATAAAGTTGAATAAACTCGATTTAAAGCGACGTGTTTGATTAAATCGCTTTGAAATCGCTTCTTGTTTAACATTATTTACATTATGTTTCTCAAGAGAAAATAGTACTGCATTTCGTATAATGGACTGATAATTGCATATTTAATTAATTATTTGTAAAAAAACCATACTGTTCCCTATAACCATTAGTAATCAAGTTAGTTTTTTATATGGGCTCTAAGCCAAACAAATTACAGATCATATGAGCATTAAAGTTTAAATCTAACTTTAGCGTATTGTTAAACAATTTAAATGTGGAAACAGACCAAAAACAAAAGTTAAATTAAGAGAAACAATTAAAATTGGACAGGAACAATCTCATAAATTAACAAAGGAAGTACATAAACGATTAACCTAGAACTTTTAGTTTCCGTTGATAATACTTTTTGTCTTAGTACTAAAGGTTTATGTTACAACGTTTAATTTTCACAAAATCTAAAACTATTTTGCCTTTTCTTTGAGAACCGAGCACTGTACTTAACATACATTAACTGTTTATAATAGTATATGTATTATTTCTTTACTTAAGATCCAAAGCTTACTTCTATTGTAAGTAACGTATTAGTATAGATTTGACTGCTTAGTTTAACTTCAGTATTTTGCATAGTTTGTGTAGTATTTATTAAAAAGAAGCATTATCTTGTCTTAAATGTTTGCAAAATTTATTTTAAAAACTAAAATACGAAAATGGATGAGACACTTTAAGGAATCATTTATACTAAAGAAAATATTAAATACGACGTTAGCATCTGAAAATAAAAAAACATGTTCTACAAATTATATTATTTAATTCTTAAATTTAAAAAATATAGCTTCATGTGCTGAAGGTTTATATTTGAGCTATTCAGATATGTAAAGATTACTATTCATATAAAATTTCTTGATATCAACCTTTAAAATAGTTCATAATAGACCTATTACAATTGACGCATCTGTCCCAAAGTACTGTAACTACTTGCATCCCCTTATCATTGGTTCAAGAACCACGCTTAAGTAATTTCCAACATTTTCATGAAGTTTATTATTTTTAAAGTTACTAATATTATAACTGACTAGAGAACCCGTGCGGCTCAATGAGCCGCATAGTATGGAACATAATGCCGAGGAAAACTTTATGCTTAAATTCCAGTAATTGTAGCTACATCTTAGAATTGTTTAAACACTTGTTAGAAACTAATTTTAAATATCTCTGTTTGCGTCGTCAAGGTTCACCTACATTAGTTCTGCTCTCAGTTTTAATTGATAACTTATAATGAATGCTAAACGATCTGCTTCAATTCGAGTTAACATGTTGCAACAAAGTTTTTCCAGCATTGAGAATTGAAGAAAACTGTTGCCTTAGGCCTACTGATAACCAGTGTTTAGTAATTTAAGTTGGGTCTTTTTATTTCTTTGATTTGAGACATCCCCCTAATCAAATTTTCTTCGTGGATACCCTGAAAAGTGAGGTGATATCAACCATTTCATGTGCTCCATTTTTTGCCAACTGGACTGTCATAATCTGCTTTGAATAGACTAAAGCACCAACAACATTGAAAGTTGGTTAACGTATTTTAACGTATTGTCTGTTAGTCTCACGTTTTTCTGTGGAGTTTCTCTAAATACCTGTTGTTGGTTAGCAATTTTCGTATTCGTTTTTATTAATTTAAATAGCAAATATTTTATTATTTTTTCATGTCTAAATTGTACTATAACTTATTATATTAAAGTATTTCAGTTACTAAAAAAAAGAAAAAAGAAAAAAACTTGACCGTAACAACTCGATTGTTGAATACATAAACACTGATTCCTTCACTTATGTTTGGCCTAATATTGCCACTAACTTTCAATAGCAAATGAGTTGTTGAAACTTCTTATTTTTTACTTGAAATGTCTGGATTGTGTTGGTAAATTCAGTCAATAAACATTGTATAAGTTTTTCCGAGGAACTGGCAACATAACCTAGAAGTAAACAATCCATTTGCGTTTTTTCTCAATTGAAGTAGAGCGAGTAATACAAAAGTTTACAATAAAAACAGAAGGTCCGCCAAGATTTGGTATAATCTCACTACTTGAACTCATCATAGTCAAAGTCAAGGCATTAATATAGTTTATACTATTCATTTGATCTGACATTAGGCAAGTTTACTTTACCACCGTGACAACACTATGTGCTTCGTTTATTTTTTCACTTCCAAAGTGAGTTGCATAGCACAACCATCGATGTATAGCAGAACTGGCAAATATTATTCATATCACCAAGTGAATGTGTATCTGGATGAGTGTCTGTTAGACCAGGCCTCTCTTTTTCGACTCTCCTCATACGCATAAGATATCTTATTATTAATTGTCTCATACTCACGTTTTCAATATTTCTTCTTTGAACTTGAGGCATTTTCTGTTCTTCCTACAAAACTGATTACCGGTTTAACTTGGTCTTAACCTACTCAATATTACAAACATTAATATTTACTCCCAAAAAGCTAAGGAGTTTCTTTTTATAAACAGCTGTTTTTTGTTTTTAAATTTGTTCTATGTATTTCTTATGGGGAAAACCCAACCTTTGAGAGGGTCTCACGCCCTTAAGAGTAGGAATTTCAAAATTCTAAAACCTTATTGCAAAACCACATATTGAGACGAACCTTTTGACACCTTAAACGTTGAAATTGGACCACAAATAAGGGAGGAGTTGCGTTAACAAAAACCGGCTTCACGTATTATATATATAGATTTACATTATAAGTATGACTAATCCCTATTGACCTTACAGGTTTATCATATTTCATGCAAATAACACGACGAGTGACGAAATTTTAAAAAGAATGACTATTATTAGGAGACGGCGAACGCCACAGACAGGTCTGATTAAAGGCTCCAGGCCAAACCTGATTACAACAGTGTTGTACCTTAGAGCTCTCCTTGTTTTGTTATTCAAGTTTCAATTTAGTGCCTAGAGGTTTTAGTAAACTTTAAATAATACAAGTTAATAACTTATAGAGAAATCGATGGTTTTTATCCAGTTTGTGTGTTTGTGAGTTACTTTTATGTAGAGATAGAAACGCCACGTTACACACTTATATATGGCCAACAACATGACATACAGATTTGATTTGCTAGTATAACATATAGCAATGACATTGTGGATGTTTAAAAATCCAATTTGTGTTATAGTTTAGGAATTTGTTAAATTTGATTTTCTACTAATGTAATAATATTTATTTACTTTTACTATAAGTAAAAATTATAAAACATATTTAATGAGCAAAACAAAAGAACGAAAGAAGAAATTCACTCTAAAAAACTACATTATGTCACACTTTATCATAATCTAATTATAAAAAAGATTAGTTTTTAATTTATTTTGCTCTGCTCGAAATGTATTTCAACCGTCTATTTCTGTAAGAGAATACAACCTTAATATAAGACTTTATTTTAGAAAAATTTATATATTTTAATCATAGAAGTATTGTGTCCAACAAAAGAAAACTTGTTTCAATTCTTACCACCTGAGGCGTCAGACCATCGAAGATGAGGTTTGTGTTAAAACGTAGTAATTGCTTTCAAGAGATAAGACATTTTTCTACTTCAAAACTTGGAGTTTTATACTCTTAGTAAATTTCCCACCAAATGAATAAGCTATTAACATACGTCCCGCGGCATGTCCCGAGACCAATTTATATTTTAGTAACTGCCAAAAAAACATCCGTTCATATTAGTGTCCGTTATCACGGATCGAATCATCCGATTTTGTTCAAACTTGATAAAAACTTGTAAACTTACGAATATTCTAACGGTTTTGCGAACTAGAATTTGATCACTACACACATTAGATTTCGTAGGGCGAATTGATGGAAAGTTGAGATTTCTTCTATTTAGCAATTTCTTTCATACTATGTTTTAGAAATTAAATCAATAAACAATTCAATACAATAAAGCGTTGCGGAGAATTAATTAGTAATTTTGTAATTAAAATTTTGTAAGTTAAACGAATATCACGTTAACCTGTTGGACACTTTACTTTAATCGGTTCTCATTTCAAGTGATCCTATTCAATGATCGATTGATTGATACTCAACAACAACCCGTAACGATCACAAAACACACATTGAAACCCACAGCTAAAAGGCAGCAATCACCTCTCTGTCTTGTCGTCAGACGCCTTCATTGAAAACTTCTTTTGTTTGTCATTT